TAATAGAACTTCATGGAAGATTGTTTTAAAACATATAAAACTAATAATTCACACTAAGTAAAAATGGATGTTACGTTAGATGCAAACGTCACATGATCACGGGTAGATACATATGTAAATAAATAAATATTGTATTGAGGATATTTCTTGACAAATGTAGAATAAATATTTATTTTTGTGTTTTCGCAAAAATATGTTGTCAGAATGCATAAATTTAACAAACATTATTGTGACTGTTCATATTTATTACATCTATAATCTCTAAAAAAAATGAGATAACTGATAAGTGCTCGCTGGGAAATACCCTTTTGATTTTGATGTCAGAATTATAACAGAGATATAGACTATTTTGTATATTGATAGATGAATAGTAAAGTTGCTACATTGATTAATTAAATGGTTATGACATCTTCTGTGAACCAATGTTTTGACATCAAGAGAGTGTAAAATTATTCATTACAAATGCATGCCAACAGGCAAATTCAAGTCAGCAGGTTGTTTATTTTGACCAGTGTTTTAAATATATTCATTTATAATGGAACTATATGTAAATTCGGAGAATATTTATATATGGTCATGGATTATATGAAGTATAAACAGTTTACTTCAATTAAAATGTGCCAAAAACTCTATTACCTATTTACAAATCAGTGGATAGGAGTTGTTTTTGATTTTGCAAAACACCCGTGTCCTACCTATACAAGCAAAGTGCTCCCGAGTCTAGGGAAAAAGTAATTTTAGTAGAATTTTTCATTTATATAATTTAATCTATCGCATATATAACTATAGAACAAGATGTTAAGGGATTCTGACATACAATAGCTTATATAGCTAGTTTACATTAAAAAATATGACTTTGTAATAATTTTATAACATTTAGATCGGAATATTGACCGGTATTTATTGGGAATGTAAGACAATTCATTTGCACACAAAAACACCAGGTCATATCACAATAACCTACTAAAGTCAGTCATTTCGCTAAAACCAGGAGCTTTTCCGTTTTACTCGTATTACACTCGAGAACTGCGCATGTGTGTGTGTGTGTGTGTGTGTGTGTGTGTGTGTGTGTGTGTGTGTGTGTGTGTGTGTGTGTGTGTGTGTGCGTGCGTGCGTGTGTGTGCGCGTGTGTGTGTGTGCGCGCGTGTGTGTGCGCGTGTGCGTGTGTGTGTGTGCGTGTGTGTGTGTGCGCGCGCGTGCGCGTGCGTGCGTGTGTGTGTGTGTTTTTCGCACTGAATTCTACAACCTGTGACGAGATAACACGACCACACCAAGCAAGGTAATCTTTGTCAATTTGTTTCTTTTACAGCGACACTGACGATATTTCGGGGAGAGAATATGGGCGTTTCTGATCGTACCCGCAACCACAACTCTGACTAACACACGTCGTTCAAGCGTATTCTATGGCGTACCATGCATACGCATAGCGTAGAAGCTTCGACTAATTGAAAGTAAATCTTGTCTACTGGACATTGAATTGATTGAACTTTAGGCAAGTTACAACCCCTTACATGAGCTATCCGAACAATCAAAACCATTGTCTGTTATTGTCGTGAGTACTAAATCATTTGAAAGGATATTCGCGTCATTCAGTGACATCTGATCTCCGTATAACGCACGCTTCTTGCATCGAGATTCACCGGGGGTATCTCGGTACATGTACTAATATTTGTTATTTTGATATAACGATTATGGTGTCATAATTTTCATATGTTTAGATAATGGATGCAAAAATTGGCATGTGTTGGCGATGCGGAAATCAGCAACGAGTTCAGTGTACTCGGTGTTGCATGGCTGTGTATTGCGGTGAAGGGTGTTTACACGATGACAAATTTAGACACAGGGTAAGTGCGTCTTTTGTATTCCATGTATTCAGTGACTTTGTTTCCATCTTGTTTTTGTGACATCAAGACGCATCTTTCATCGATCTTAACTTTATACAATTGTAGTGATATATACTAACAATATGTAGCGTATTATAGATTAATAGATTTAAAATTAAAAACAAATACCTGACATTTTAAAGAAAAATATCACGAAATTTGAAAATGTTGAATATTTGAAAATTTAGAAATAACGTAAATATTAATTTATGTCTAAAATATTGCGTGTAGGAAGTTGAATGAGATAGTTTTGACTATCTTGCAGGGTGAATGTGAAAATGCTGCGAAGTCTAGGCAATGTGCCAACTGTAAAAAGACTATATTCACGTTCAAGCGGTGCTCAGCTTGTATGAAAGAATGTTACTGTGGAAAAGAATGTCAAACTAAGGCATGGCCAGTCCATCGTAAAGATTGCAGAGCAGCGCAGAACGATATCATAAAAATAGCTCAGATTGTCAAAATGGCAAGCTGGAGGGAATGTAGTGACACATTTCAACGACACGTTGCTCAGCCTTCATTACTGGGGAAATACTCCTGCTGTTGACTTGTTAAATCTTAAGCACAACGAGTGGGAAAACGGTGACAGACCAGATCAATTTTCTCTTTTACTATGTGGCGTTGGTGATCTTAGAAATGCGATAAAGACAGGCGCGTCACTACCATCCGAATTTAAAGGCCATGTAACATTTCACATCAATG